TTAAGTACGAGGTGAGCAGCGCCGTGAATCTATCGCGCGCGTAGCTGTGTACCGTACGGTACTACTGTGGCTGTGTTTAGTTTATGAAATTTGAGAATTTTGCTATTATAACACTTTTATTTTTATTTGGCAATTAGTGTTTAATTATGGACTAATTAGGCTTAAAACGTTCGTCTCGTAATTTCTAACCAAACTGTGCAATTAGTTTTTTTTTCGTCTATATTTAATGCTCTATGCAATATCGTAAAATTCAATGTGATAACTATTGTAGCACTTTTTAAGAAACTTTTTATAACTAAACCCAGCCTGTATCGCAGAGAGATCGACCAAAACGTGAACAAAAGCTACCACTATCGATTCGTTGCGGTTTTTTTTCTCTCTCTTGTACGTACCCGTAGCCGATAACTTGTGAAGCACGCTCACACCATCCGTCACACTCGCATGAAGCCCATGGTATCATCCTCGTTCCGTACCAAGCTGCGAGCCTCGTGACAGGCTCGTCACGTCATGTGAGCGTGTGCCCGTTGTTGCGGATCCAGCCGACCAGCCCCACACCCCAACGGGGGCACACCGCTGTGCAGCCCTCCCGCACGCAGCAAACGGACGGTGGCGCCGCGGTCTAGGTGGCGGGCGGGCAGGCAGAGGCAGCGCCGCTGTTTTTCCCGGCCCGGGCGAGCAGGTGGCCGCGTGGCGAAGCGGGTGCGCCGGCTCCCGTCGAGACGCGCCCAAGTGGCGCGCGCCTGATTTTTTGGTTCCCTCCCCGTTCCCGTCAGCACTCGGCACGCCGCCGTGGCGGCGTGGCGCGGGCTGAGCCGATGGCCGACGCACATCCGTCGCTCTCGCCTCTCGGCTCGTCTGGTCCGGTCGTGGTTGGTAGTTGGCTGCTGCTCATCGGCTTCGCTCGTTCTCCTGTCTGACGCCGTCCAAACTCGATCGATCGCCTGGCGCTGGCTGCTGCTCAAGTTTCACTTGGCTTGTCCGATCGAGCCTCGCACTGCATTGACTCGCACAAGAACCAGGTGAAGTTTGGTGGCGTGGCGGGGTTAGCTTAGCTGCTGCCAGTAGAACCAACTTATTCCGCAGTTTTAGAGCTCGAGTAATGACGGCGCCTGTACTGGGGGCTACTTGCTCGTGTACCGCACGGTTTCGGCGCAGAGCCGTGGTGGCACGGTCAAAACCGGTTTCCGGGCTCCACGCGTTCTCAGATCCGGCGCATTCGGTGTGACTCCGTGGTTCCCTCGGCCCGCACACTTTGTTGTGTGCAACTTGCGGTTCACTTGATCAGGATGAGGATGAACACTGCCTAATTTCTGTTTTGTGTGTGATGACTGTGCACACGTCACGTTGTCCGTGAGCAATTAGAACAAAGCCTCTCTCGGTTTTTTTTTTCTGAAACAAAAACCTCGTTCTCTTTTCTGTCTACTGGTATTGTCTTGGATCACAAGAAGAAGCTACCTCGTAGCATACCCCAAAAAACCCCGAAAAGAATACTCCTCCGTTGGACCGAATGCACACTAGAAATGCTTATTCGATGAGAACTTCGATTAGATTTCTCGGACAAATTAAAATGACTCTGTTTCTTACACCGCATCGTCCAATGTTTTCTTGAGCCGATAATAAGCGATGGAAGCAAGGCAAGAGACGAAGAAAAGCCACCATTTTTTTTGTCACCCTAGAATCGTGTCCATCATTTTTGTAATGGCATCGCTTGGCGTCGGATGGCGGTGGCGGAGCACCGGTCCTCGTTTAGTCTAACGCTAGGCGATTAAACCAAAGCGTGATCTTAACCCTGCCTGCTGTCACCGCGGCGCATGCGGTCAATCGAAGCGGTAATCATCAGTTATGTCATCACTTGTGAACGTAACCGAGAGAGCCCAAAATGTTGGAATCGCTTGCTTCCTGTTTTAAAACGACGACGACGACGTTGTTAGCATTGGAGTAGTGTTTATTTACTGCATTTTATTTACTTCCATTCCATGGTCAATTCAATTCCGCGGGCAGCCGGGCACTGCACCAAAGCGAGTGAAAAACAGAGGAAGTCAAGCCAGACGAACGGCATGACCCGGGCCCGGCGGACGTAGCCGCTAGCCGGCCGGCCGCTTGTATCTGAACCGTACCGAGGCAGTCAACGAACAGGTGCGTGCGATCCGCTGCAGTTTCAGTCTGGGCGCGCCGCCTGCATCTGAATTCTGAACTCTGAAGAACATCGTCCGCGTAGGCATGCACGCACGCACACTGGCGGAGGGTAGTGGAGGGCACCCCCCCTTGCTCCATGCATACCTGCAGTTTTGTTGCCTGTTGCTGCCAAAAAAAAAAATCAAACTGTTGCTGCCGCTATTTGGAGAAGATTACAGGTCCAGGGCTTCGTTTCTTATTGCTTTACCAACGATTGTATCCACGCACGGTGGCCAAAAAACAAGCTGTCCAGAGCTAGCGAGTCTGCCATTGCTCTCTGTAGCAATAGAGGGTCTGTTCGGCTGGTATTAAAGTCGACTGATAAATCAGCTAAAGTTATTTTATTGTGAGAGAAAAATACAAAACTGTTAAGCCGGCTGATTCAAGCGAAGAAATTGCCCCCGCTTGATTTGGTGCTGTGCTCCGCCACTGCGCACGCACGCACCGTTTGACACCTGCAGCCAATTCCAGAACCCATGCTTTGTGAGCTGTGATCCGCTGATGATCGCCACTCTTCCCATTTCTAATCCCTTCATTCATTGATTCACACGCGTGCGTGTCGAGCTGTCGACTGATGGCTTTTGCCGGGACAGAAAACTAAGCGCGCGGCATGGGCATCGCGGGTTCTCGGAGTAGCTGACCTGACCAAGCAGACGCGTCCCGAGCTGAGTTGCGTCGTCTCCATGCCCGAACAACGTGTCGGCACCAGCGGGCAGATGAGTTTTCGCCGGGGGAACTGTATACGTGTGGGCCTGGTTGTGTCCCGATACCACGCGATAGAAAAGAATACTAGCGAGATCTGACAGGTAACAGTATTGCAATTTTTTTTTATTTAATCTTCTTACTTTCTAAGAAACGTGCCTAATTATCAAGGAGACCAGCGAGATCAGTAGGGATTGGTTCACCAAACATCAATGTCATATATTCTTATCGAGTGAGTTTTATAATCATAACAGATTACATCATCTGTGATTCTATGAACTACAAGCATGTTCGTTTCGGCTGAATTGGCTTATAAGTCATGGTTGAAAGTACTGCTGGCTGGTTTGGTGTGAGAGAAAAACACTGTTCAAGCCATGGATTATAAGCCAGATATGAGCGAATAAGCCGAAACGAACAGGCTTACGATTCTGTCATCGCAATCACACGTGAGTTTTCCAAGGAGAAGCCGAGGCATTATATTCATATATATCCATTAAAAAGTGTCCACTAAGGAAGGCAGATGAGTAGTATTGTAAGTCTCTTATTCTTTTTTATACCTATATTTATATTGTAAGTTGTGGATGTTTTTAACTTAATCTTTAAATTTAAGACCTATCATGTTATTTAATGCATATGTATGAAATCACGTTGTAAACTTTATAATGGTTACCAATTTACCAAATGGTTTTTCTTATTTGCATATGAAAATTTTTGAATGGTGTACTCTTTAATAAAATCCTAGATCTGCCATCGATTAATGGTCACTTTCTGCACCTATACACGTCTAGTTTAGGGGGAGTTTGGTTCCATCTCCTAAACTTTAGTCGCTGCCCCCATCGGATGTTTGGGACACATGCATGGAGTATTAAATATAGACTAATTACGAAACTAAATGCATAGATTGAAAACTGTTTAGCGAGGCAAAATTTTTAAGCCTAATTAGTCCATGATTTAATAATGTGGTGCTACAATAACATATGTTAATGATGAATTAATTAGGTTTAATAAATTCGTCTCGCAGATTACTAACTGATTCTATAATTTATTTTTTTATTAGTATATAAACATCATATGCGACACTTCTACGTGACACCTCTTGAATTTTAGTCACGCTACGAAACACCCTTTATTTCGCTTGCCGATTGATGGTGTGGAGTGTGTGTGGTACAGTCATCACGTTGAAAATCGCGGGGAGCTGACGTGGAAAGGAAGCAGATGAGGTGGGGCCCGTAAGCCATCCAGTCGTACACACAAAACAATGGTTCTCTGCGGTCGGCTCTCTGAATGTTTGTGGTGAATGAAGCACGATCGCATACTGGCATGGAATGGAAGGCTCGCGTCAACCGTCAAAACTCAAAAGCAACGACAAGACCCCGCGAGCTGGAAGCGCAGGGACCCCTGCTCAGCTTCGGCCCATATTAGGCCCCGGTTTAGATTCCAAAAGTTTTCAGCCTAAATTATTACATTAAATTTTACGGCACATGCATGAAGTATTAAATGTAGACGAAAAACAAAACTAATTATACAGTTAGGTGAAAAATCGCGAGACGAAACTTTCAAACCTAATTAGTCCATAATTAAACATTAATTACCAAATACAAACGAAAGTACTACAGTAGCCAAAACCAAAAAATTTCGCCAATTGAACGCGCCCTTAGTATCTTTTACTAGACGAAATTTGCACCATAGAATCTAGCCCCTCCTTCCGCCACGTCATCCTAATTCCAAGCCGTTGGATCTCTGGCTGCATTTACACGAACCGTCAGTTCCATTCCAGACCCTCTCCTCCCGTCATCCCTCGCACCCAGGTGGCCAGGCCCGCCGCCGTTCCTCCTCCCGCTCCCCTCCGTGCGCCTCGTACCGTCTTTTCTAGAGGTTTCGATCCCCTCCGCTACCTTCGTTTCCTCCAGGTCGCTCGTCCTCGGCGGCGTGAGAAAATGGCAATTTTGCCATATCAGATTTGGGCTTCGCTGGTTTGCCATCATGTAAACAGGATTCGCTAGGAAGCCATTATGAAACTGGGAAAGCTAGCTGGAATGCCATTCTCTCTATTTCTCTTTAATTTAATTATTTTTTTATTCCAACCAAACTTTTATTTCTGTTTTACCCCTGCCCCACATGCCTCATCCATCATTTCTTCTTCGGTTCAGGCCCTTGGCGGCCTGGGCGGGCCTCGCCGGGACCACCGTCCGCTTCATCGCGTGGTGGTGGTGGTGGCTGTTGTAGTAGTTCTCCGCCAGCGCGGACGCGTCCAGGCATGACCACGCCGACCCCTGCGGTGCGCTGGCCGCCCACATGAACCGCCTGGACGACGGGTCCATCAGCGACTCGCGGAACTCCTTCGCTCCCTCGCAAGGCAAGCCCTGCGCGTGCAACCAAGCAGTTTCAGTTCCAATGCCCAGCAGAGACAGAGAGCAGACATTGGTCATCTGAATGACTGAATGCAAGTGATGATGGTTCACAGTGGTGGTACCGTACCTCTGCCATGGCTTTGATCTTAGCGTGACGCTGTTGGACAGGACGACAACCTTCTCGTCGCTCCGGAGCCGATCTCGATCTCCTCGTCGATGCGCTGCGCCGAAGGGGTCGCGGGCGGGGTTGGTGCGACCGGGAACATGTCGGCCGAGCTCTGGACATGGATCCACCAGCTCTCCGTTGCCATGCACTCCTCGATCCATTGCAGGATGGTGGTCGCCTTTGTTGACCGTGCCCTCCCGCTGCTTCATGGAATCTAACTCCCTGATCACTGTGGAGACAGTAAAGAGAAGCGTAGTACTTCAGTTAGCAACTGCAAGTAGCACACACTAGTAGTAATTCAGTGGGCAAGTGCAAGTAGATCTCTGCCACAATCAAACAGGGGCACGCAATGCAGATATCACAGGCAAGATGGATTAAACCAAGTCGTAAAATGGGAGGAAATAACAATCAAAGCCCGTGAAGCATCACTTAACAGCCTGAAAGGACAGTTAAGATGTAAAAAATGCAGAAGCTAACAGCCCTTAAATTGCTGACATTATAAGCATAGGTTGACTTGTTGAGATGGAGTATTGTATAGAGTATCATAGGCAACAGAATGAATGATGCATGCAAGCAGACATTTGTTCAAATTTCAAAACATTTGGTGACGGGAGCATAACAGAATAAATTTGAAACATTTACAACAGTTGTATTTGCTCTGAACTTACCAATCCTCCAGAAAACGGATCCAAAGCTCAAAATCTCTATGATAAAAAAGGAAGAAAACAACAGAACAATATAACTCATGTAAACAATTGAAGACATGAAAGGTACAGTAACACCCAAAGATATTGAAAACCAAAGAACTGACATACATGTTTAAACTGTAAACCAATGCTATTAGGAAACTCAGACAATGGAACTGACATACCGTTGCCAACTTTACTTCTTCCTCACAATTCGCACGCACATCTCCCTCTGCTCCTCTCTCCTCACACACGCACGCATGCCGGCCAACAGCCCCACCAATCTCATTCTCACGGGGACCAGCCACCGCACCACCCCAACGAGAGCCTACCGCAGCACCACACGCACGCCAGCCCGCCACCGCTGCTCTTGCACGGGCGGCCGCATGCCAACGCCACGAAGAGCATCGCCCCGATTGCGCTTGATGTGCTCAGGTGGAGGTCGGCGATGTCGTGCAATGGAGGTCCGTGATGGGACGGCTCGAGCTGGGGGCGGACGTCTACTCAGTCATGGACGATGGCGCGTGCCTACTCGGAAGTGGCGAGCCGGCGTCAGCCGGCGGCGGCGCAGCGTTGGACGGCCGCGGCAGCGGGGTGGTGGCAGTGCGGCGGTGGGGCTGGCGTTGGGGCGGGCGGCGGCCTGGGGAAGGGCAGCGGCGGTGGGATGGCCAGGAGTAGCGCCGCGCGTGCTGGTGTCGGGGCGGCACAGTGTGCATGGGGCGACAACGGCCTGCTGGTGTGTGCGCGTGTGAGGAAGATGAACAGGATGAAAGAGATAAGGTTTTGAGTTTAGGGGCAGGGGTAAAACGGGAATTAAAGTTTGGAATAAAAATAATGATAAAATTAAAGTGAAATCAGCGAAATGGCATTTTAGTGTGCCCCGGTTTGATAATGACATTCCGACAGATCCCTTTTACATCGTGGCAAACGAGCGAAGCCCAAGGTTGATGATGGCAAAATTCCCATTTTCTCCGGCGGCGTCGGCGCGAGCTGCCTCCGTTGCAAGCACTGGCCGCGGCGGCGACCACGCGGTAATCAACCGTGCCACCCACCGGGCTCTTCCCTTCGTCCGCCCCACCGTCCCCGATTCGCTCTGCCATGGCCCTCGTTCGGGTCGCGATTCCTTCCACAGCACACAGCAACGCAATTCGCGGCCTCGACTTCGGCGGGTGCCGCCACTGGGACCATCGCCTTCCGCCACCTCGTTCTAGCGGTCTAGCCACGGCCTCGATGTGCTACCACCGTAGCCGTCTCCGGCACCACCACTACTGCCGAGCCACGGCCACGGCGTGGTGCTGATGGACGCTCGGTGCAGCTTGGGGCAACGACGACGGAGGCAATGCGCTGGGGCGACGCCCAACTCAGATCCACCTCAGCGTCGCGCTCTGCCCCCATCGTCGACAAAGACGCTGCCAACTCCATTGCACCTTGCCTGCTTCAACTACTTAAGGTACGCCCCTAGGTTGTTCGATGAAATACTCCTTCATAGCTCTGTGACTTCGAGTTCCCTTTCCCTCTCCGCTTGTTTCAATAAAGTATTCTCACTACTGACGCGCATGCTGCGCTCCTCCACCAGTATAGGCGTGTCTTCGGCCAGGCGAAACTCCCCTGACCTTACCATTTCATCAGCATGCTCAGTTGTACGTCCTCGAGCTTGATAGGTGAGGAGAAACGTACAACAACAATGGGAAGGAGGTGCTTCACAAACTCCACCCTTTTTACTCAAACAGAGTGCATGGAGCTGAAACTGTTTGGCTAAAAAATATGAAGCGAAGTTGAAAAACGCGAGGTGGAGCAGTCTCAAACACCCCCTTAAGAGCATCTCCAAGAGTCTTTCTAAATTTCACTCTCTAAATCATCATTTGAAAAGTCATTTCTATAAAAATCGTTTTCTATATCTTTTCACTCTCCAACAGTTTTTCTATATCTCATATGCACTTTAGACAGTCATTCTCGTTTTTTATTTTTGGCTAACGAAAAAATCCGGAACATAAGATGGCTATATTTATATAACCATTTAGATAAGTTGTTGTTAGATAATTTTTTACTAAAATCTCCATTCCTAACATTTAGAATGATAGAGTTGCTCTAATAGTAGCAGTATACCGTTTTCTTATCATTCTTAATAAAAAACGAATATTAGCATATCAGAGTTCCATTTTTCAATAAGCATTAGATTACGTTTGACAAATCATGCATTTTTATGGCAAATTCTAAAAATTAGAAACTCATTTTTTTGGCATGTTCGCTTGGTCGTAAACAATCGTAAATTTCTAGCTAGAACAATATTTTTCTCTCACACCAAATCAGCCAGCAGTAATAATCCACGATTATATACGATCGTTGCCGAACAGGCTGCTGAAGAGTCTGCAGCACCTCCCGTGGAAAAGAATGCTGGCTGATGAGATGGAGACAAGCATGCTGCAACTGCATAATTGCAGCCGATGTCTGTAATCACATCAGGGTGAGTACCACGCTTCCATGACTTCAGTCTGTTGAACTCATCGCAGTGACATGCACGCAACCACACACACAATCTGTTCTAAGCCATGCTTTTATAAGATGATAAATGATGATCTACGACTGATCCTGATTAGTAACATCTTGAGTTATAAAATAAAAGAACTGATTCAAAACTGCAGTCATTTTTACCTCTTGCTTTAGCTATTTTAGTTTTTATTTTTATTTATTTTTGAAACAATGGCAGGAGCTCTGCCTTTCAATTAAGACGAATGAATTTTATATACAAGCAAAGGTAATCAAGCGTGGTGCCAAACACCGTGAAAGATTAGCCCACCCACGCAACACGGTAGAGCACACACTACCATGAGTCATCGTTGCCGAGCGTGGCTGCAAAGCAGCCAGCAGCCCTGACATCCCATGGCAAAACACCGACGACCCATCCTAATATGACAGACCAACGGGTCCGAAGCAGAAGGCTGCAACAGGTCATCGTTGCCGAGCTCAACGGCTCCGCGAAGAGCAGCTCCGAATTCTATGACAGTTATAGGACTTGACTTTGTTTATATATTACATTTTCTTTCATGATTTGCCGAACATGTAAGATGATTTTCTTTCTTCCAGCATAGCAATCGACTAATGAAAGAAGGCCCTAATAATTGTTTCCTATTACAAGTACCTCATTTCCAAATGTAATATTTCATATCCAAATATCAGACCACCTATTATGTTTTTCTGCCATAATATTCATAAGTTATAATGCATTCAACATTCAGTATTTCACAAGGAATTATTAGCTACTTTATCAAATATTGGGCCGTACTGTGCACTTCTCTCGTAGGATTCGACTAACAGACTGAGTATTTACAAAAGGCCAAATATTGGTAGTCACCCAGGTCAAGCCTGATTAGCAGATATTTCTCATTGAAGTTTTAATGAGAGCTAATGATGGCAACATATCGGACTCAAATTGACTTTTCAGGCAACTGATTAGTTTTAGTTTGGAGAAGAACATCCCTCTCAAATTACCGTTCCTTCAATGCATTTCCTGTTTAGAGTACCCTACCTGTGGCAATGATCAGAGCTGAATTGATTGTTTATTGACATGTGAGATGGACTGTATTCTATCAGCCTGTTCGGGAGGCCGTATTGTATCGTGGATTATTTACTGCTGGCTGGTTTGGTGTGAGAGAAAAACACTGTTCCCGACTGGAAATTTACGATCATTTACGAGCAAGCGAACAGGCTTCAAATGTTCCTGTATATGGTTTCAAGAAGTATTACAGTGTTCTGAAAGCTCTAGAATGGTAGCAGTCACTTGCAAACTTGTCAGCATGAAAAAATTGTCAATCCTTTTTCATTCTCAGTTCATGTCATTGACGTTTGAATAATTCTTTAGAGCATTTCTTTCCTTCTTCTGTATGTGTGTGTGATGAGATGACTGTTTGCCGTTCTATAAACCTAACTCCAACTAAACTGCCTTCGCATCGTTTTTTATAGCATTTGCAACTTTACTTTGATCCCTCCTTATCTGCCAGAGAGACAATCCAGAGCAACGCAAAGAATCGGAGTTTTGCTTTTGTTATTGTCATGTTATTTTTTAATGTACAGAGCGACATAGTGCTTCTAAAAGTAGCATTGTAAAATTCTGAACATATAAGGTAAAAACAGGTTCGAATCAGCTGGCACATATGATAGAATTATGATGATACTATACATCTTGTCAGTTGTCAATGTCAATGTACTTGTAGGTTTTTGTTTATTTCGATCAATAGTTGAATACCAATATAACTACAAAATTTGGATTCTTACTGTCATGTTTAAAAGTAAGAACTCGTGTAATTGTAAGCTAATAAACTTCACAACCCTTTTCCTAACTAAGCGCCTAACCCAATTTCATTTTGCTAGGCCATTGCATCAAATACCATTATTTTGGAAGGTATTTTAATCTTCCATGATCAGAGAGTTTACAATCTGATGGACATGAATTTTTTTGTAGACATAGGTTTCTCATTCTCACACAGATGCCATTTAGCTACTTATAAGTCCATATATGCTCAGTTCTCCTTCCCCGACGGCAACACCATATTATCTCAATCTGTTCAGAGCACAGTGAATGCGATGACTGACTATTTGTTCAGTGCTTTTGGATACAATTATAAAACACATAGTGAGTTTTACAAAGTAGGCTTCTTCCTTATAGTAAAATCATGCACACATTCAAAATTCACTTAAATCCTGTTCAAAGTTCAATCCTATGTAATTCAAAGGACTGCAATAGGGGGAAGAATCTAACATCATCTCTTACATCCGTAATCATAAAACAAATTATCAGTCAGATCAATAAAACATGTGTTATCTGATTCATGACGAACATGGGCTATTCTCTGATGAGGGCGCGGCAAAGCCGCGCCTATGTTTCTAGTTCCCTTCGGACCGAAAGAGAGGTGTAGACGAGCCTCGAGTCATCGACGACCTGCTCTCAGTTAAGTGGAGAGAAGAAAGAATCTCGTTCGTTTACTGCCCGGGGGGAATGGACTATAGGAAAGGTGCAGTCACGCTCGACTGAAGTCACGCTCGAATCGATTTCCTGTCACAGAATCTGCTCGGTATTTTTACTTCTGGGGGGAAATATATTCTTTGTTTACTGATTATTTCAGTACGTAGTGTTTAGTGAAATTAAAAAAAAAGGCTCGTGCACTCGCTGAGCTCGGTCCACCCTACTTCCTCATTCCTGCCCTTGTTGAGGCTTGTTCTCTGCTTCTCTTGTCCACTATCAGCTTGACAGGTCATGCCCATAGTGCATCGAAGTGAATGTCAAAGTCACAACCGCAGATGGGCCTCCCGAGAAAAGGAATTCCCCCGAGAAAACAGGCTGTGTGTTTAGTTTTAGTAATTTGGCTATTGTAGTATTTTTGTTTTTTTTAGCAATTAGTGTTTAATCATAGACTAATTAGTCTTAAAACGTTCGTCTCGTGATTTCCAATCAAACCGTGCAATTAATTTTTTTGGGGAGAATTATTTATTTGGCACTGAAACAAACCAGTGTTTTGTATTTGGCACTCGAAAATTTGAACTTTCTTATCTGGCATCAAGTTGAAATTTTCTTTCGTAAATGACACTGCCGTCCATTTAGGGCAGTAACGGTGTCGAGTGACCGGCAAAAAGACATAAATACCCTTTTTGCAGCAGAAACTCATGGTGCCAAATAGGGAAGTTCAAGTATTTTCGTATGGTGCCAAATAGGGAAGTTCAAGTATTTTCGTATGGACGATATTGGCCTCAACTACTTCCCTCATCCTAATCACTGATGTGTAGGCCCCACGCGTGCTCATCGTCAACTGCAGCCACCAGCAGTTTCCGTACGTGTGTACCCATCAACTAATTAGCGGACTGAGATGCTGCAGGCGAACCCCGGGGTGCTACGCCGTCGTGGTGAGCACCGAGAACATCACGCTCAACTGGTACTTCGGCAACGACCGCTCCATGCTGCTGTCCAATTGCATCTTCCGCACGGGCGGCGCCGCCGCGCTGCTGTCCAACCGCCGCGCCGCCGCCGGGCGCCCCAAGTACCGGCTGCTGCACACGGTGCGCACCCACAAAGGCGCCGCGGACGAGTGCTACGGCTGCGTGTACCACCGCGAGGACGGCACAGGCCGCATCGGCATGTCGCTGGTGCGCGAGCTCATGGCCGTCGCCGGGGACACGCTCAAGACGAACATCACCACCCTGGGCCCGCTGGTGCTCCCGCTGTCGGAGCAGCTCAAGTTCCTCAGGTCCCTCGTGCTCCGTCGCGTCCTCCGCTCCCGCAGCGTCCGTACGTTCCCGGACTTGCCGACGACCAGGAACAGCAGGCTCCCCAACAGCTGAGGCACCTGCACGCTCGACTGCCATGGCCGAGAAGGCAGCCGCTCCATGGCCCGCGAGCGCGCGCGAGCAGGCCGCCACGCTGCTGCCGGGCAAGCGCGCGAGCGAGCTGCCGAGATACCGCCGGCGCTACCGTGCTGCTCTCCCTCTCGCTCGCGGTTATACCTTTGCCCGTCGAGTTCTCCTAATTCGAAAGCAACGGCGGCGCCACCAGCAGGTTTCCCTTCCCTCATACCGGTACTTACGCCACCCACCATCCACCTCGCAGCTCAAGAGGGCGACGCACAGGCGCACAACGGAGTGGGCATCGATCTGGGCGGTGCTTCAGCGCGGAGGCGGGCCCATCTCTTTGATGACCGGTGATTTCGCCCACACAGCCTTCACCGGCGCACGGGGCGAAGCAGGCCGAAGTCGAGGTGTGCCACAAGGTCGCAGTGGGCAGGTGCGGCAGCGGCCCCCTCTCTTCGACACCCATGGCCCTCCCCAGATCACATCATTTGCCGGCGCACGGGCAAAGGCGGTCAGAGCCGAGGAGGACCGGGTCGGGGAGAAGGCGCGACGGCCAGGCCGCAGCCACGAAGGTTGAGGGCGGGTGCGGCCTGCACGCCGGCGGGCAGGAGTCGCGCTTGCCTAGGCCTCCAGGCGCGGAGGTCGCGGCACGGTCGCGAAAGCCGAGGACGGTTGCGGCCCGCACGCCGTCGGGGAGGAAGCGCGCTTGCCTGGGCCTCCAGGCGCGGAGGCTGTGCTCCTCGGCGGCGTCCGGTGTCCGCGCGTTCGCATGTCGTATGGGGAGAGAGCACCGGAGTTGGAGAAGGCACCAGATCGAGACAACGAACAAGAGAGGAGAAGGGGAACAGGGGCGGCCTCCCGCGGGGTGGCCTGCTCGCGCTCCGGCCCTGGAGGCAGGGCAGCCTCGCACAGTGACACAACAGAGCCGGGGAAAAAAGGGAAGGAGGTCGCGGGATCTGGGCAGTCCTCTCTACGTAACAGAGGGTACATTAGACATAGAAAGAAAAAACTGCCATAGTGAAGCCAGTTAACTAACGGATGACCAATGAAAATGGACGGCAGTGTCATTTAAGAAAGAAAATTTTAACTTGATGCCAAATGGGAAAGTTTAAATTTTTGAGTGCTAAATACGAAACATTGATTTGTTTCAGTGCCAAATAAACAATTCTCTCTTTTTTCGTCTACATTTAATGCTCAATGCACGTATCGTAAGATTCAATGTGATGACTACTATAACACTTTTTGAAAAAACATTTTGGGAACTAAACACAGCCACACTCTTATTACGTTCGGGCCTGACAGTCCACAGAAAGCCCAATACGACCAAGGATGACATCTGATTTGCCAAGCTACCTTTTTAACAAACCACCAGATAGATCCATCGGACAACCACTGAGTCGGGAGATCCTTGCAAGGACTTGAATGTATTTTTTACTTTTCTCAAGGGTGTCTTTGTAAGGAAGCCAATGTAATACTCTATCGTATATGAAATAAAACCCAGTTCCTCTAAAAAAAAGCTACTTTTTTAACAATATAATGGGGGGAAATAAATAAAAGGGCTTTGGCTTCCATGGGTGATAAATAAAAGTTGCAGCCGTAGATTGCGGGATCATGATGATGTAAACAATTCAAGGAAATGAAAGGCGCCTCCACGTTCGGATGAAGAAAAAAATAATAAACATATTACTATACAACTTTCCAAAAAAAAATTCATCCACATGGGACGAAAATCTAAGGGATCATAATTTTAGCATTGTTATTGCTGGCACCTATCTGTAGTGCTGGCTGCAGTTGCAGCAACTGCTAGTTAATTTTATTATTACAAAGTAATTGTCTGCATCCAGTAGAAAAGTGCATAGTAGGACCTCTTGGTAACATATTTCTTCAAAATTGTAAGACTGAATGTTTGGATAAAACGTATAAACAGAATATGAAGTCAATAAGATAGTGACACAAAGGAAACTTTTTCTCTCAGGTACAACCTCTTGGTACGAAACAAGCCATTCTATAGGAATTTCGTATCATATAATTTATTGGAACCAACTCCCTCTTTTCCAAACGGTTTCATTCATAGGAAATTAGGGTTCCAATCCTCTAGAGTCCCTGTATTTAGATGTACGTGTTTCACATCTCTCTCTCTCTAATGTTCCACTTACATGTGGAGGAGAGGGCATAAGTTTTGTTCCTTTCGTGGTGTTGCTAGTACCTAAGAAACGATATCGTCCATGGCAAAAGAGGACAACCTAAAAGGATCTAAACAATGCCTAAAGGGGGTGAATAGGCATATCTAAATTTTTTTGCGTAATCTCAAAGTCAAATGTTAGTGACAGTCAGAAGTCCCGACAATTTGGGCCGGAACTTCCGACACCCGGAAGTTCCGACGCAAACAGCCAGGAGTTTCGGCACCTACGAGAATTGCACAACAAGTGCTAAAACGAACTTTGAGTGAAAGATATCTTACAACCCCACTCCCTAGTGGTAAGGTGAAGTGTTGGGGTTGCTTCTTTGACTCCAGAAGGTCACCATTTCGTAGATCGAGTCTAAACCCTAAGAGAAGATTTGGGGAGAAAGACAAACCAACTAGAACAAATATGATAGCACAAATCACAACAACAAACAACAAGCACGCGGGACACAAGAATTTATCTTGAGGTTCAGCAACCCCACAAAGGAGTTCCTACGTCCTTGTTGTTGAGGTGACCACAAAGGTTGGAGTCTCTTCCACCTCCTTGCCTCTCTCAAAACAACCACAAAGGTTACTCGAGCTTTCCACTAAGAAATCAAGGGTAATACAAACTTTCCAAGGCTCTTCCACAAGATAAAAACTCTTGGGCGACGCCTAGCTAGCTAGGGTTCCAAGAACCCAAGAGTAATAGACGCAAATCCAACCGGCTTGATGAAAAAATCAAGTGCTCAAGCTTGCCAAAGTGATTCTCTCACTCAATCCACTCTCCTTCCACTCAAGACCCTAGGAGAATCGAAGATTGGACCAAAGGGAAGAGGAGAGGGGTGCCTTGAAAGCTTGGGAGCTATTTTGGACGAAGGTTGGTGAGCAATGAATGAGTGGTTGATGGTTAGAGGAGAAGAGAGAATTATTTATACTCAAAGGCAAATCCAACCGTTTAGATCTGAGTCGGAAGTTTCGACACATATCACTAGAACTTCTGGCTCAACGCAAAAACATTGTTCACGCAGACAGTCCACTAGGCTTGCTCATATATCGTCGGAACTCCCGGCGGTCACCGGGACATTCGGCAGCCGGGACTTTCGGCTTCCGTCGAGACTCTCGACAGACATGACGAGCCAGGCGACTAAGTCCCAAGGCGTCGGGACTTTCGGCGGGAGCTAGGACTTGCAGCACCTAGAACTCCCGACTCCCGTCGAGACTTCCGACGGGCAAAGATGCGCATGCGGCTAAGTCATGAAGTGTCGGGACTTCCGGAGGGAGCTGAAACTTTCAGCACCCGAAACTCCCGACTCCCATCGGGACTTTCGACGGGCGAAGATGCGTAGACGGGCTACGGCTAAGTCAGCAAGCGCCGGGACTTTCGGCACCAAAGTCGGGACTTATGACAACTGGAACTCTCAGCTCACGTCGGGACTTCCGGCTACCAAAAGTCCACAAATTATGTCCAAGTGTTCGTGAGGTGATTTTGTGTCTCTCTTTTGATTTTATTTTTATGCTTCAGCACCCTATCTTCCTCGGACCACCTAAACTTACATCCCTCTTTATAGTACGGTATACCTAAACTCAAAACAAAATAAAAAAGGCTTTGGAGAGCGCTTTGGGTTCGTCCGCTTTTTGCACTTGAAGAATTGATGGGTATCATTTTATCTTAGATAAACTCTTTTAAAGCTTTTAAGGGACTAAAGCTGCAATATATCTCATTAAGATCTCCTTAGTTCCTAATTTGGATGTCATCAATACACCAAAACCCACATAGGGGGCAAATGCACTTTTAATCTCTCTCTTTTTGGTAATTGATGACAACCAGCTTAGGCTTTCTTAAGAATATAAGAATTTAAAGCTTTTGAACCCCAAAATTTATAGAGAGCTCCCCCTTAATATATGCAATGAATTTGAATTTTAATGATGATCATCAACACATCACTTGCATATATTGAGGTAGAAGCCCCCCCCCTAAATTTTGCAATCCGTGGGGTGCAACAAGTGTATGTGAATAAGTGAATATCCGTGAAAAAGAGAATGCAATATGACATGTTATATTCACTCAACAAGTAAAAAATGATGGCCAAGATCTCAAAGTAACAACTTGAAACAACACATGGCCATCTAAAATAACATCCACCATTCACATATAGAGACTAATAGATGTGTAGATAGACATTACTTATCCTACAATCATCCATCACACACATAAATATAGTTGTCCATCACATAGTGCCACCACACAATATAGTTCATACAAGCTAAAAGTTTTAAAGTCTCACAAGCTCCAAGCGACTAACTAACTTATTACAATAAGATCAAAGCCTAACACTCCCATTTGTCAACAAGTGCCAAAAAGGGTAGGCCGCGTGAAAGAAACGACTACTCATCATTGTAGTCCTCATCATCATCACGGTCACCACCACCATCATCGTTGTCGTCATCATCTTCCTCGCGGTACTCCTCATCATCGACATCCATTTGCGACTTGCCATGGGGACGAGGCTGATTGGACGACTCTCCATAGTATTCCTTGCAAGCCTCATCATAAAGCTCAAAAGGGTCACGAAGTGGCTCCAAGGCCCGAGGCGGTGCGGAGTGAATGTCAAGCTTCTGCTCAATGCGATGCATCCTCACTAGCATCCCTTGCTCACGCTCAGCACTAGCACAACAAGCTCCAACACATATACTTCATGAAGAACTTGAACTTGCTGGGGGGCTTACCACTGGAGGAGGAGGAGGACTGAGGCTCCTCACTATGAGCACGGCGAGAGAGTGAAGCACGCGGTGGAGAAGCACATGATGAGGAGCCCGAGTCACCTTTGCCTTTTCCTTTTCCCTTAGCGGCCTCCTTTAACTCCTGCTTTGCCTGAAGTGACATCTTGTTGGACAGCTTGAGAACTTTGTGAGGGGCATCTGAAGGGAAGTGAATGTCGGACATGTGCTCAATGATATGCATGATGAATGGAGCATAGGGGTAGTGCTTCACCACATCTTCACTAGCCACGAAGATCTTGTCCCAAATATAACGACTGATGGAGAACTTGGTGAACTCATCTCCAAAGCAATCAACTACAACCTAGGAATCCTCACAGAGATTGGTAGAGTCACCTATCTTAGGATACAAGATCTAACAAAGAATGTTGTTGAGCACATAGTAATAGGGCTTCAGCCAAACAGTCTTCCCATCAGCACGATGACCATCCAAATACATGTACTGATACTCATCCATAGCAAGAGCTAAAATCTCAGTGATGGCAGTGGAGGTGCGATCCCTGTGGTCCAAGCCAAGAAGGCAAGAAAAGGTAATGAAATCAACCTTGTAGTGCTTGCCTTTGGTGGTCCAATAAATGACATGTGTATCCGCTCGAGTGTCCAAGTGATAGGAGGCATAGAACTGACAGATA